AAAGATAAAAAAAAAACAAGTACGGTTATTAGTAAAGAATTTGAACCAACGACAAGACATACTTTTTTGGTATTAATAATTTAGTTATATATAAATTGTGTTTATATTGGTGATGATGATTTGAAAGTTCTATGCTTTGCATACTCTTAATATAATCATCGATTTAGGAGCCATGAGAGAATATGAAATGCGAAATACCGGAGTTGATTTATTCTAAATGCGATGAGTTCGTGAATAATTTTAATAAGACAGAGACAGATATTTTGAATGATCTTACTCACGATAAGGCATGGAAGGAAAATGTGGTTGAGTTGAAAAAAGTAGCAAAACGAATACTTAGCATACAGTAAATAATTGTCTTTTTTTATAATCATATGCATTTTGTCAGATTGAAAGATATGGAATAATCCGCTTTTGAAACCAGCATGTCCCGAAATGAACAAAATGAAGGAACCTATATATCAGATGTGATTATGCCTTTACTTAGAGCCACTTTAAGAAATTTGCCAAATGGACATATTTGTTTAAGTACTGCTGAGCGTTTAGCAAGTAAGTTACGTGTGAACGATGGAACAGGCAAGAGAAAATAAACAAAAAAACTTGACATTATAGCACTAGAAAAGGGCGAAGGAAAGCTGGTAGAGTATCTTTATTTAGAGAGTTCACGTATTTTCTGTAATGATACTAAAAAAGATGATAATGAGACAAAATTATGGAGAGAATTGTTGAATGGGATTAGGTATGTAAATAGCGCATGTAGACCTACTAGTAATCAGTTTGGAATAGTTGGGATCCAGGTGGCCGATGAAAAAATATATTTAAATGTCCTGATAAATGACGCGATCGGAATCCCAAAATATTTCCATGTAGACCATGTAGACCATGCAGAAATTCCACTAACTTCTGGCATGTCATGACGGTTGAAACACTTAATGCGGTTACTGTTAACGTTAAGAAATATTAGTATTGTGAACAAAAGTTTGCTCATTCAAGCATTAAAGCAGTCTATTTCACATCCACCTCGTAATGTTCACCCAAGTCTCACTGTCTCTTCACCACGTAGGGACAAAAATGGCCTAAGAAAGATAGTAAAACCAGAAGGGTAAAAAAAAAGAAAAAGAGCATATTTTAAGAATACATTTATATTTTACTTTTATTTTTCATATCAATAAAGCTAAGCCCTTGTAGTTGATTTCTTTGCATACATAATCGTGTTTACTTTTGTGTGTATACTTACATTTAGAGATGTATCATGCGTATTATGCATATTACATTATGCAAAATATAATGTCGCATAATGTAATATAGATGGTTTAAAAGTTAAAAATGTATACGTATTGAAATTATCATAATTTCTGGGACACCCGATTCGAGATTTCGGCATAATAGATTCGATAAATTGATATCGATGTAAATATAACCAAATATTATAGACTTGAATACAGAAATATGATGCTTTCAAAATAGGTCAAACTCAGTTCGGGCCTATTTGAAACTAA